CTTAACCTAAATGTATATGAGCTCCAAATTCTTGGTGTGAATTTAATATCTACATTTTAAAATTTTGATTGAATATAGAGTAAGTCAAATATATATATGCATGTATGTAAATATAATTCTGTACTCTGTATGTGGATTTATTAGTATAATAAGACTTTCGTTAACATCCTTTTTGTAGATTATTAGCTATGGATGATGAAATTATGTTATTTCTCTGTGCAATGCAAGTAGCTAGCCTAGCATTGTACACTGTATGGAAAGCAGAAAGATCTAAGCGCTGGAAGAACAGGCGATGGTGGGTCCGTCCCATCAATACTCGACGTGAACAGTATGGTGACTTCGCAAGTTTGTTTACAGAATTGAAAGAAGATGAAGATATGTTTTTCCGATATACGAGAATGGATGTCCCCACATTTTACGAATTATTGCGACTCGTGAGTCCGTTCTTGCAGAAAAGAAGTATCAGAGCCTCGATATGTCCAGAACAACGTCTTGCAATAACTCTGAGGTAAAAATATATATGTTTTATAATACATTTTATATTTCGTACATGGATTGAATTTTTAAAAGTTTATCAATTATTGTACTTTATTGTAGATATTTGGCAACAGGAGATCAGATGCTATCTGTGGCTTTAGCATACAGAGTAGGAGAATCTACCGCTCATATAATTGTTAAAGAAACATGCTCTATTATAGCGAATGTTCTGATACCAATTTATATGAAACATCCCACAGAAGAGGAATGGATAGAAATCAGTAGAGATTTTTTAGAATTATGGAATTTGCCAAATTGTGTTGGGGCAATTGATGGCAAGCACATAACTATCCAGGCACCTCCGAATTCTGGTTCAATGTATTTTAATTATAAAAAGACTTATAGTATTGTGCTGATGGCTGCTTGTAATGCTCGATATAAGTTTACCTTATTCGATGTTGGTGCATATGGCAGTGAAAGTGATGGCGGAATTTTGTCCAGATCAGACTTTGGACGCTCTCTATATGCAGGTACACTCAATATACCTGGAGTCATTGCTCGTTTACCAGAAAGTGACATAAAATTACCTTATTATTTTGTTGGGGATGAAGCATTTCAAATGTCTACACATGTAATGCGACCTTATCCGGGAAGATCTTTAAACGAGCAAAAAAGGATTTTTAATTATCGACTATCTCGGGCCAGAAGGACCATTGAAAATACTTTTGGAATCTTTGCAGCTAGGTGGAGGATATTTCGAAGACCAATATGTGCTAGTGCCAATGTTGCTGACCGATTAGTGCTAGCAGCAATGTGCTTGCATAATTTTTTAAAAACGAAAAATGACGAGAAAGCCCCGCCGCAACAAAGATATTGTCATTCCCAATTTGCAGATAGAGAAACAGAAGAAGGAGATTTAATAGAAGGAGAGTGGAGACAGTCATTAAGTAATCATATAAAACCCATGGGAAATATAGGAGCACATAGAGCTGCTAAAGAAGCATATGCAATGCGTGACGATCTCTCGTCATATTTTATGACAGCAGCTGGTGAAGTTCCTTGGCAGTATGAATATATACACAGAGGGCAACATCGCGATGTATCTTAATATTTACAATTATATTGTTTTCTATATACTATAATATATTTTTGTATGTAAAAAATAAAATTGTTCTTTATATTGGAAATTAAATAAACTTTTATTTTTAACAGATCACAGTGTATT